AGCAAAAAGCAGCGTGAGGAGCTGGGCAGCGCCCGGTGACACAGATCTAATCGCCCGAGCATTTGCCCCAAATGTCTCCCTGCCAGGCGATGACATTTCTGCGCTGCCTCAGCTTTCTCCCTCCATCACCATGGCTACAGCAGCCGCCAATCCATGGGCGAGTCCTTCTAGGTTACGACCAAACCCTCTGGGAGATGCTACGAGAGCCAGCCCCTTTGGCAGGGAGACACTTCGGGGACCCCGGGACAGCCCGTAGCACCAAAAATTCCCCTTTTTCTTCTTTCCCTCCTCCTTTTTATTTTCTGTTTCTTTTCTTTTTTTTTTTTTTCTCCTTTTTTTGAAGCACAAACAATGGAGCTAAAAGGTTGGGTATCAGGCCGATAATCATGAATGACGTGTCATTATTACACACCACACATTCATTATCTCCCACTCCAGCCATGTCACAGGCGGCTGGAGGAGGGCAGATAACGGGGTGCCTTCATGCAGATGGCTTATTATCAGGATGTTCCAGGAGGGGCTTTAAGACAGTTAGTGATGCTGTTTGCCAGTTAAAGATTAGAGACCCCAGAGAATAATTAACAATCCCAAAACCCAGTTTTTCTGCTGGATTCTTCTGCTTTCTCCCCCCTCCCCCGTCCTCTTTAATCTATTCATTCTAGCAGGTGTAATAAAGTGATAAGGACAGGCTCCGGGGATGTTTGTTTGGCTACTACGGGTGTATAAACCAACAATGGATGGTATTTTACTTCTGGCTTTCAGTGGCTTGAATCGAGACCAAAAACTTTGCAGCCCCCTTGCCCACACACAGCCACCCCTCCACACTGCGCTCCCGGCTCCCACCTGGGTGGCTGGGCTCCTTCCCTGGCCCAAAGGACCACGATGGTGGGACAGGGTCCCTTTTTGCTTCTGGAGGTCCAAAGCACAACACGTGGATGTCAAGGCGCCCAATGCCAGGACATAAACCCCAGGCTACGTTGCTCGCGGTCAGGGCGGGAGCTGGTGGTCCTTCCAGCAGCGGTTTACCTGCATAAACCAAGTCTTTAATTAAACCACCTTGGAATAATTTATATGGTAGGTGTACAGCTGCCCAAGCTGCTTCTGGGTTGTGGTCACAGCTGGAACAAAAAACCTCCACAGCTAAGGAACCTCAGGAGAGATCGGGAAGCATCAGAGTAAAGGTGGCTTTCAACAAGACGCCCTTCAGCTGGGGATCCAAGAGATGAGTTGCACCCTCCTAGGCCACAAAGGAAAGCTGTGATACATCTTGTAACAAGGTGATAATGCAAAAAGATCACCCTGAATATCTTCTGCCCAAAAGGAGACTATCCCTTCCACAGCAGGTCCCAACCCTGAACGTCTTCCTGAAGCCCAAGCTTCAGCGGTACTAGCATTACAGAGTGAGGGGTAGGATGGGGTACCCACGGATGTCCTTCCCCTTCATCGGTGGGTGTGGGGTGACTTGTGGAGGACACAGTCACTCCCCGTGCTGCGGAGGATTTGGCTCCCAGGCAAGTTGGCTCAGGGCCCTTCAGAGAGGTCACCAAGGCTGTTGGAGGTGTCCATCACCTGGGGGCTATCAGGTACAGCCCCAGCTCTGGAGGGCATCCCCCAGCTCACAGGGTCAGTGCGGTGGGCATGAGTGCCAAGATGCCAGAAGTTGCCTTCCCGATCACGCTCATCCTACCAGGGAGGGATGAGACAGCATTGTGCTTTAAAGAGCATCCCCGACCCTATCAGCGAGAGATGAGATATCCTAATTATGGCAGTACAGGCGAGGATCCGGGCTGTATCAGCCAGCACAGAAAGGTAAACAAGAAATATAACAATGGACCCTTAACACTCATTAGCTGTGTCAGATAATACCTCACTTTTCTCCCTTTGGGGCTTAAAATCTAATTAAGATTTTCCAACAATAAATTTCATTTATGCTCGCTCCCTTTTGTTCTTTTTAGGATCACATCGAGAAGCAGCCCTGAGCCGGCTGCACAGCTCACGGGAAGGCAGCCCGCTTCGCACAGACAGCCTCAGGTCATACTTGGTGGACAAGGGAAACCGAGGCAGGATGGCATCGTGGACTGTGCGGAGGTGAGATCCCACTGGGGAGATAACACAGTGGCTCTTGCAAGTTGTTTTCCCAAGGAAAGTAACCTCTGAAGGGGCACTGGCTGGGATAAGACCAAGCATTGAGCTTCCTGGGCTAGCCCAAAACGCGCAGCTGTAAAGCCTCATCTACGACCATGGGAGGGATCCCTGGGGAAAGCGCCCCACCGAGCCCCCAGCACACCTCCACTCCAAACCCACATCCAGGCACTGCTGGGGGAAGAGCTCGGGCATTCGTCACATATTCAGGGTGTGCACAGGGCAAGGAATAAACTCCTGCTGTTACTCATTATAAGGATGCCGTTTGTAACTCCTTTTGCAACCGAGAGGTAAAAATTAATGGGTTCCCCTCCTCTCGCCACACCCCCAGCCCGAGTGCTGACACGGCCAGAACGCGCAATGACTAATCCTCCTTAAACCCTGCTGAGCGAAGCATTACCGCTGAGTTCCGGGGAGCTTGTTTTTTCCAAACCCACGTGACGTTTGGCACCTGCGACAGAAAAGTCTGGGGAGCAGCATCCATCAGGGGCACGAGCGGGGAGGTCCAGGACCCAGCCTGGGGCTGGCTCAGCCTCCAGCTGCCCAAGGGAAGTTGGTAGAAGGGAACAGCTCTGTCGTGACGCTGGGGACAGCAGCCATCGTGCCTCTGCACCCCAGGGCTTGACCCCTCCAACCCTTCTGCCTGTTTTCTTCTACCCCCATGCAATTTCTCAAATGGAGCTGTGATTTCTCAATGCCGAGTCTTGAGGGCATTTTCAAAACGCTTGCCTACATGAGGCTCTTCAGGGAGATACCTTTGAGGATGGGTCTGTTACTGGGAGGCTCCTGTTTTACTCCCAAGCCTGAATTTTTTGGGTCACCGCCCACTAGGGACATTGACAGCTTCACCTGTGGGAAGGATGACAGCAGCACCATGGTCCAGCTCCAGCCCCTGGCTCCATCCTGGAGGGCTCCCAGCAGTGGGAAGCAGCATGTTTTGGGTTAAGCTCCCCATCAGGGCTGTCACAGCTTCACTTTGGGGAATATCCAGTAGGCTTTGGTGGTTCAGGAAAACAGGGTGTTTTGCAAGCCCCTGCCTGGGGAAGAAGCCTGGGCAGCACCTCCTCCAGGAGAAGCTCAGGGCTTTTAAGGTCACTGGCAAGCACAGAGGACAGCCCATTCAGGGTTGAAACATGCAGAGCAGGAGCTCTGCTAGTGAGAGACAAAGCAGTACCTCCAGCCCCAACACCCCAGCTGCCTGTTTCTGGCATTGCTGCCTGCAAATGGGCCTCCAAAGCACCTTCTGAGCAGAGGCCAGGGCTCCCCCCAGACCCAAACCTACCACAGCTGTGGTTTCACAGCAGGTCTAACATTTCCCCTTGCCCCAATGCTCAGCAGAAAGGGAGAGCAAGAGGTGGCTCAGGCATCCGATGTCCTCCTGCCACCTCCTCCCCCCTGTGTTTGCACAGCCCCAAGCACAGCAGAGCCCCAAAACCCTCCTGCTCCCTCTCCCCAAACCCAAGGGCTACCAAAAATGCCCCTCTTATAAACCCCACCCCATCTCACCCCTCCCAGTCCTGCTCCACCTGCAGCCCCAGGCTGCCCTTGATTGCAGAGCCCCTTAACCCTTTCCTCACTGGTCGGGGAAGGACCCTGCAAGCTGCTCGGGCAACTGATGTCCTAGGGAAGGCCAAGGCGTTACAGATCTCTCATTTCAATCTGTAAACATTGTGGCTTGGGAGCACTTGTTGCTCCCACGGTGGCCCAAGCGCTTCCCCAGCGCTGTCCCCACCGCAGCAAAAAATGGACCCTGGTTAATGAACAGCCCGGCAGGAGCAGGATGCACCACGGCCGGCTGCCCCAGGGAGAACCAGCACCACCCGGAGCAGCCCCCGAGCCACATCCTGGCAACACCAGTAAGTGATTGCCATTCCCAGCTTCCAGCCCTGGGAATGGTCCCCAGTTGGCTGTGGGTCTGCGCCCTGGGGCTGGTGGGATTCAGGGAATGTTGCCTTTCACCCATCAAGCAGTGCTGGGAAGTGCTGGGTTGGTGCCATGCCTCAGTTTCCCTATCTGGTAAAAGGAGGGGACATACAACCCTTCATGGCTCTGGGGAAGTCCAAACACCGAGCAAAAAAAAAAATCTTCCTCCTCTTTCTCTCCCCTGTTGACACATAGGCACAGGCAAAAGCGCTGTTGGCTTCATCCAAGCAAGGAAATAAGAGATAGATCCTACCCAGGAGGGATCACGGGGGAGATGGGGGTGCTGATCCTCGTCTAAGCACCCTTCCCACCCCCACGCTGCCTTCCCAGGTGTCCTTCCCTTCCCCAACTGCCCGAAGGCTGGGAGCACTGCGAGATGCCAGAAAGTCCTTTGGGTGATTAACAAAACAATGTTCTTTGCTGTCGTATGGGCAACAATTCTCTTTATTGCTCACAGGGAAGATATATACAGGGGAGAAGGTTTGTTCTGACATTAAAATGCACGGTGTCATAAAAAGGAGGGTGAAACATGGAGAAAATGGGTTTTCCATCGGCAGCTCCCCGGAGGGCGGCTGGGGGTGCGGGAAGGTCCCAGGCACCCAGTGGGGACCCCTCCATGTCTGGAGCAGGTCAGCACTCCCCTGGGACTGGGGACATCAACCTCACCAACCAGGTGGGGTGACCGCCAGGCAGAAGAGGTGACACCTCCGGACCTCTCCTAGGGACCGATGCCTGCATGGACCCCAGCCCCTGAGGCAGAAGAGCACATCCCGCATGTGGGAAGGGAAAAGATCAGGAGATGGTGGTGCCATGGAGAGGTCGGGGAGCCGCTGCGCATGGGGGATGCCGGTGCAGACGGTCCCTGCAAAAATGCCCGTCGCGACAGCGGGAAGCAAAGTGAGAGGAGGAAGGAGGGCGGCCAGCCGAAGCACCTGCTACATGGCGGTGGTGATCACCCTCTCCTCGGGCTCCAGGGTGTTCTCGTAGGCGTGCTGGCTCTCTTTGGACCTGTGTTGGGAGGGAGAAGCACAGCCCTGAGCTCACCCCCAGCAAGAGCAGCCTCCCCAAACCCACCACCGGGGTCCTGACCTTGCTGGTGCCGGCCATGCATTGAGCGAGGGGTGAGGTAGGGAGGGCCAGAGGGTCCCGCTGCCAGGAGGAGAGCCAAGAGTGGGGTGGGAATTGTTCTAATTTCTAGCGAGGGCTGTTTTGACAGTCAGCGTCTGTGTAGTGACCTATGGCCACTTTTGGTGGTTTCCTCTGTTTGAAAGGTGTGATGTAGCATAAGAAAAATGTGGTGTAGCAGGTTGCAAGGTGGTGGATGGACCATGGGGCTCAGCTGCAGGGATGGGGAGAGACCAGGGAGGAGGGGATACTTGCTCACCACCTCCTCTTTAGCCCCTGGAGAGGATAAAAGCCCCAAAACCGGGTGCATGGGACATGTGAGACCCCGAGTGGGAGAGACCGCAGCTCTGCATGTCTGAGCTGTCCCCAGGGGGATGGAGCAGAGCCTGGGAGCTGTGGGTAGGAGGTTTGAGGGAGTCCCTCACCTGAAGTCAGCTGCTGCGGTTAAGTATCTCCCTTCATGGCCATTGGACGTGACAGCCTCCTGCTTGTCCTCGATGCTCACCACCGTCTCAACATTTTCCCTGGAGGGGGAGAAGAGAGGAGCTGAGAGAGAGCAACGGAGGGGCCGTGCCAGGGAGCAGTTCGTGACAGTGCAGAGGAAGAGACTGCTCCAACACCACCGAGACGATAAGGGACCCGGACGTGTGATCCTGGCCTCAGACACCCAGCTCAGCCCTTTCCCAGCAGGACATGGGTAAGGAGAGACACCCTTGCAGCAGGTTTGCAGGGGCCGTGCCCAGATGCCGAGTGCCAACCCCTGGCTCTGGAGCTGGTACTCCCAGTGCCGGGCTGGCAGTCAACAAGACTCACTTGTCAATACGTGGGATTGTTTTCTCCCGCTAACTGGTTTTTCCAGTCTTTTTCTATGTAATCTGTTGCAAAATAGTCCCCTACGGGTCCCAACTGACACTGAGAGAAACGCCAAGGCTCTGCCTGTGCCGCAGCCTGGCACAGGAGGGGTGCACGCGTGCGTGTCCGCGCGTGCAAAACCAAGCGGCTCCCTCTCGGATGTGAGTCTGGATGACTCGCAGAAGGAACCACGGGGCAGGGAGCACATGTTCGACCTCAGCCAGTACCTAAAAGCTCAGCTCTGGAGTGAGCCCGTGGCCCGAATGGCAGAGGAGGGTGCAGGTCCACCCTGAGTGCACATCCCTGCCACCTCCAGCGCTCACCCCAGGGCAATTTCAGAGGCTTTTCCAAGGAACAGGCTGGCATAAACAGGCAGCGGCTTGAGCTGATAGCTGCTGTCACAGTGACAGCGCGGAGCTGGCAGCGTGCCAGGCTGCCGAGCCTTGTTGCCGGCTCTTCTGAAGAGAGGCCAGATTAATTAAAACAAGTTGCCATCCCCCCTCAAGCCTTCCTCAGCATCCTCTGCCTCTGGGCTGGGAAGAGGCAGCCGGGCACGGGCAGAGGTGGGAAACACCATCCCTGCCCCTGCTCCATGGGCTGGGGGGTCCTCCAGTTTGAGGACAAAGGTTCCGCTTTGGGAAACAAAGACTGCAGTTGCAAATCAGACCATATAAATATATACATACACATTGCATTATTCATTGGTCCTGAATGCATCCCAAATGGCCCCCTTTAAATGCATCTGGGGCAGAAGCCGACCTGCTGAGCATCGGGGTACACCCCAAGACCCCGCCTCCTCAGCCTGGAGAGGCTGCAGGGGTGTGCCTGCAAGATACAAGAAGACTCCAGCACCTTTGGGTGCAAAGCCCAAAGCACCCGTGCCAGTGCAGAGGAACCGAGAACCAGGCTATAGGGCACTTCTGATCTTCATCCCCTGTTGAGTTTGGGCTCAGATTCAAGACCAAGTTACTGCAACTTAGCCAGTTAGCCTGGGTCTGCTGAGCAGGAGCAGCAGCCTGTGGCTTTGCTTGCCCGGCAGCAGGCAAGAGGTAACTGGCCCTACAGAGCCTTTTTCTGATGAGTAAGGTCACCTCGTTTGCCTGTGCCGTGGGCTCCAGGTGGAGGTCACTGCCACGGCTCGGCTACCTCCCTCTTCTCCTGGCTCCTCTCAGTGCCTTCTGCCAACTTGGCCTGGTCTGCTTTGCAAATGAAGCTGTTTTGGGCTTGTTTTCCCATGGATATAAGGCACCTGGAAACTGCACCCCCAAATCCAGCCAGCCCCCCAAGATGCATGCCTATGTAAACCAGCCACAATGCTGCGGCTGTCCCATCTTTCTTGCAGTAGCACCTGGTGCTCTGTTTGGGGGTGCCCCTGCACAGGGAGCAGCGGGGACGGATGGTATATGCTCACACCTGGCAATAAGTAACAGGGAGCGGAGACCAGGACAGCGAGAAGAGGACAGGGAGACCAGGACAGGGACTCTTTGCTCTCCTTGCTTGGCAGCAATCACAGTGTTCCCAGCCCTGGCACAGGGATGGAGGCGGCTGGAAGTGACCCATGCAGAGGCAGCTAAGCCCAACCCAAAGCAACCTCAGGGGCTCCCACACTTACACTTTCTCCTTACACCAGAGCCTATTGACCACGAAAGCGATGGCCACCAGGACCAGAAACACAACCACTGCGATGACACCCTGTGACCATGGCTGGAGGTTGCCCCGGGCTGCAGAAAAAAAAAGGATACATATTAGAAGTACATCCTCAAGCTTTATCTGCTTGACCGAGCTTCTCCCATCCAGCTTCACCAACGTCCAGCCAAGAGCTCGGTCCTGCAAAGCCGAGCAGAGCACGTTGCCGTTAATCCAGGCAGGCTTACCTGGGTGATGGCAATGAAATAAAGTGCAAATAACAGCAGTGTCACTCACATTTGCGTGTGGAGCACGGTGCCTTGCAGCTTTGGGGCCTCATCTATACATACATAGCTAACCTATATATCCATATATAACCTATATATATCTCCATATATAACCTATATATCCATACATAACCTATATATCCATATATATGGATTTCCCCATATATACACAGTGGGGCACAGATGACTGGGATGGGGGGGACAAAGGGCTGGGGGGAAGGGAGGGAGGGAGCTTGTTTGCCCAAAGTGGCAAGGGAAAGAAGGCAGAGGGGTTACAGCAAACTGTTTATTCTCCATCCCCAGATGCCACAGACGTCATTCCCGGCTTATTTTCCAAATACTGCCTGGTAAAGTAAGGATCCCGTGACAAGGA